CTAGGTTTGTCGTTTTATAGTAGTCGTCTTGTTTTGTGGAATTTCTTCAAAGGGCCTTTGTTCAGCAGTGGATATCTTCTGTAGATGATGATAAAACGACGATGATGAAGTGCACAGCTTATACAGGGTGTAAACGGAACGTCTCTGAAAAACGCCGACAGGTGATAGTATAAAAAAGTTTTATTTTCGTAAAAGTAAGGAATCCTTACTAATATTATAAATCTGAAAGTGAGTTTGTTCCAGCTTCACGCCATAACTACTAAACCGATTGCTTTGAATTATTGCAGATGTCAAAGTCAAAGTCAAAGTCAAAATCATTTATTTCAATTAGGCCAGAATGGCACTTTTGAACGTCAACAAAAAGAAAATTACAAGTGAAGCTATTTGCTCATTCCAAGGTGTAGATTCCTATGGAGAAGAACGAGCAAGAAACTCCATAGGTTACTCTTTTTCAATCAGGTTCACAATACAATTTACCAGCTACATAGTTTTGCTGTTTGGATTGTGCGAGAACAATGTAACACCAAAATCCAGTCAAAGTGATTGAAAAAAAATAACCTTAAAGACAATAAAAAATACAGTCTGGAGCTGACCAGTCCCAGTTGACGGCGCCCGTTCACGAACATGACACGTACACCAGCACCGCCCAACTCAACCATATTGTAGGGAATCGAGCGATCCACTGCACGCGCCACCGCCAATGAGACCTTTGAGTGAGCATGACAACTCCAAGCTGACACAAATAAATTTTACTAATCTAATTTAATATTAAGTTAATTACAGGGCTCTCACATTTACAACGCTTATCTAAGTTAAACAACATACAATTTAGCAATATGGCTGTATTATTTACGATTTCATTAAAACAACAGTGTTTTTAGTTATCCTGAGGAGCCGGACTAGCCTGCATCCAAGCATTTTTATCCTCTATATATTCATTAAGTTTGTAATATGCTTGTCTACATAAAGTTTTCTTTATACATAATTTAAATTTGGATTCATTTAGTTGTTGTACATCGCCTGGTATCTTATTATAACATTTAACACAGAATCCCATGAACGATTTACTTACTTTCGCTAATCTCGAAATTGGCTGACTTAATCTATTCTTATGTCTAGTTTGATAGTGGTGTCTGTCCGACACTTTACCAAATAACTCTAGGTTTTTCCTAACATACATAATGTATAGTTAGAAGTCCGGATTAAATAATAGGGTACTTTTTATCCCGAAAAAATTTGATATTCCAGAGGAAAAACAAAAGTATTGGTATAGATGGCGCTGTATGTATTGGTATATGTCATATAGGCTACTTTTTATCCTTTTGTGACGCGAGCGAAGCCGCGGGTAAAAGCTAGTTATTTATATAAGCAAGGAATGACTGCCCGTTGGTCGAGTGGTCGCAAGTGTGACTGTTGGGCAAGGGGTTTCGGATTCGATTCCCGGGTCAGGCAAAGTATTAGTATTAAGTGGGTTTTAAAAAATTCTCAGTTGTAACACGGAGTCTGGAATTGTGCCCGGTATATGGCAATAGGCTCACCCCCTATTACATGGGACTCATAACATAAATAGTGAAAAGTGGGTGTTACATTGTACAGTGAAATAATGTGCATCTTTGACTACCCCTTCGGGGATAATAGGCGTGATGTTATGTTATGTAAAGAATTATATGATTATGTAATAATAGTTGAAATCAACTGCTCAAGGCGAAAAAACGAATGTAAAAACAGTTTCATGTTTTTCGGGAGCGTTCCATATAAAACCTGCATACAGTCGAATCGAGTTACCGTCTCCATTTTCGAAGTCGGTTAAAAATAGTTCTATCCGTACTTATCAGCACTACGAACAACATATTGTAAACTAGTCTACTAAAGTACTATAGCGATACAGGCAGTAAAAGTCACACCGCAGGCGAATTGATATCAGTCTAGGGAGTAGAAATAAAAGTAATGTATCATTGGAACACAAGTGCTTCTCAAACATTAAGTGCTATTTATTCCTATGGGTCATTTCGGACATCGATATGTTACGAGTGCATCGTTTTGTTCGTGTAAGTACCTACTAAGATGTTCGTTTATTGACTTTGTGTTGAAATTTTAGTGGTGTGATTGTGTTGTAATTTGTCGTAATAATCGGATACGTTTATTTATATCTGACTAGCTTTTACCCGCGGCTTCGCTTGCGTCATAAAAGGATAAAGAGTAGCCTATGTGACATATACCAATACACACAGCGCCATCTATACCAATACTTTTGTTTTCCCTCGGGAATATCACATTTTCCGGGATAAAAAGTACCCTATTATTTAATCCGGACTTCTAACTTTACGTCTGTAAAAATTCAAAGCAATCGGTTTAGTAGTTACGGCGTGAAAGCGGAACAAATAAACAAACAAACAAACAAACGCACTTTCCGATTTATAATATTAGTAAGGATGTTGTGTGAGTCCCATGTAATACACAGTTAGAAAAGCTACGATATTTTAACAGAATTTTAGAATTCGTGAAGTGCTTCATAATTCTGTATTCAATTAACTAAAAATTGCCGGTTACTCACGTGAATATTCTGATAAAAATGGTTATTTAGTATGTCTCACTATCATCATCAACAGCCTATAAATGCACACTGCTGAGCAAAGCCTCTCCTCACTCGGAGAAGGTTTGTGCATTAATCACCACGCTTGCTCAATGCGGGTTAGCGATTACAAACTTATAATTAGAAATTATAAGCCCAGGTTTTCTCACGATGTTTTCCTTCACCGTTTGTTAGTGGTGTCTAGATAATCTTAGAAAGTACATATAACTCGGAAAAAGTCACATCGGTACTTGCCGTTGGTAGGTTTCGAATCCGCACCCTCATGCATGAGTAGCGGGCGTCTTAAACCTCCGGGCCACCACGACCGATATCTCACGATAGTTATTTTAATAACTATCGGTATTCAGTCTCATTACACAGTTAACATGACAACTAGTAAGGTGATATTGTCGTCCATCAGAAATCGCAAAAGAACTTAACCAAATTATTCAGCAACCACATCGATTTCAAAGACATTACAACAACGACGATACATTTCCCAGAAACTTTTAAATCTGACTCAAACCGCCTTCAATTTTGAAACGAAACAAAAGCACTTTAACACTTCAAATGCGATATGAAATACTATCACAGTGAAACTAGCAGTTTCCAAGAATACTGACTGTTGCTCGCTCGGATTACACCGAGATTTTCTTGCATCCAGAGACGGAATAATCCGAGATAGCGCCCTAGGTCTATTAGAGGTCCCCCTTACGGTGCTGAGGGGGTCACCGGGGTGATTTAGTGACGTAAAAATCCCACGCTTCCTAGTCTCTCTCCCCGAAAAGATAGACACCTATTGAGAGTATCTCCTGTCATAAATGGGTACGTGTGTCTCCCGGTATCACAGCACGCTGTGACGGTTACAGGTTACAGATTCACGGAAAATCATCGAATGACTGCTCCCGCCTGGGTGAGGTGGGAGGGAGTGTCAGACTGTTACTGACTAAAAACCACCCTGTTCCTTCTCCTGCACGTCGAGCCGGAGCCCCGGTTACCCGTTAGGTTCTTCGCGACACAAATTTACGGTTAGAGGATAGAGCTGGCGCCCTTAGCCATTATCTAGCTTGCCTTAATACGGCTCTGCCTGCTCCAGTCCAGTTTATTTTACAAACAATTCGGAATATTGTCTCGTGTGATAGAAGTATAGACGAAAATTGTACGATCACGGAAGATTGTTTTCTTTGATGTCAGATTTTGAGATTGAGAGTAGACTCAGGTATGTTGTGTGAAATTGTTCCTGTATAATCCAAAATAGAATAGTTTTAAATGGAATAAACAAGAAGGTTTTATTCTTGTGTAGTGATACTCACTACTTCTAGGACTTAGTATAGATTAATGTTGATGTTGATATTTTGTTAACGGGGTTTCCGAGAATTTGTTACGTTTATATAGGTTCTAGACAAGCAACGTATAAATACCTTTGTATATTAGTATGCATCCAGTTATAAATTTTTACGTTTATTCAATAGTTGACAGATTCAAAAACCATACCAGCAACAAGATAATTAAACAAAGCAACAACAATAACATTTAAAGCACTATATAGCCAACAAAAAAATATGAACCGATGATCAAATAAAAAGCATATATTTACCTGTTTTATTGTCCCAACCCTTGAGAATCGTACCTGCCGCCGTAACAATTTTACGAGGACCACCATAAACTGAAAACAAGGTTCTATATCACTTTATATCGTTTCTTTTGTATTATTTAACGCCCCTTTTCTTCTCTATGGGCATATAACACTTTTATAGACGGAATAGAAATGTTATTCGCCTTATTTTATCGCCGATCGGTTGTTTAGTTGCGAATTAATCGTAAACGTTATGTTCGATAGATGAGCGAGGTATATGGGCATATTTGTTATTGTTATTTAGTTTTCGGTTTAGTTTATAGGTCTTTATTATGTAAGAACTAAGTGAGTCATACGCTGAACGCCTTTCTTGTTGTTGAAATTAATCAAGTTGATCTTAATATAATACAAGGAACTGCTTGTTTGTTGAATTGAAGTTGAAATTGGAAAGACAGTAATATTTTGTCCAATCAGAGGAAATACTCTTTATCAATTCAGCAAGAAATTGTATTATTTGATTTGGTTCTATTGCTAAATAAGTTATGAAATAACTTGAAATAGGTCTCAATTTGAATAGCAATATTTGAACGAACAATGTAGGTATATTTTTTTAAGGGTAATCTCGCCACAACCACCCAAAACTGCTGCACGCCAGAAGCCTGTAAGCCTGGATCTATAGTAGACTGTAGGTACGTATATGTAATTTTAGTTTTCATAGAATTCTTCCACATACAATAAATTCTACTAGATCCACAAATAGAGGTGTTACCGATGAACCATTACGCAGAACTTAGGGTAATATTCCCCGAATTTCCTATAGGGGATACAAACAACACAATTACCCTAATTTACCCTACACAGTGAGTGTGAGCAAATATTTTCACTGGAGTATTGAATCTCGTGAATGACGTGTTGGATGTTTGTATGTCACCGATGAATATTGTGTGCGGGTAAGCGTGGGTGTACATTGTGCCGTAATAATGAGTCAATACTCACCAATAATAACACCAATGTGTTATCTCCTGACCGGATCCAGATTTATTATGTAGTGTAGTATTATTTTTGTCACAGGGATGAATTGTATATTTAATTCAATTCGGAAATGGATAATATTATCTCTTAATCATCGCTTCTGAAAACTAGTACTAAACGTAGCATAAGCTTTCATTTAAGACAAAATGTTAAGCTATTTAAACAGATTTATTATGTAGTGTAGTATTATTTTTGTCACAGGGATGAATTGTATATTTAATTCAATTCGGAAATATTTATTATGTAGTGTAGTATTATTTTTGTCACAGGGATGAATTGTATATTTAATTCAATTCGGAAATGGATAATATTATCTCTTAATCATCGCTTCTGAAAACTAGTACTAAACGTAGCATAAGCTTTCATTTAAGACAAAATGTTAAGCTATTTAAATAAGAACAAGTAGACATTTTCTTTTGATCTTTGTTTCTATTGTAGGGTATAAGATATAATTATAGATATTAATATAAAATTTAAGATTATTTTTTTTCAAACTCTGACTAATCTAGTCTATAGGTTACCCCCCACTGATAGGTAAGAAGTCGGTGCCATAAGTTCAATACAAAATTATTCATTAAAACCTTAATAGGTACCTAATTCACAATTTTGTGGACATTAAGTTATATCATTATGATATGAGCTTATGGCACCGACTTCTAACCTATCAGTGGGGGGTAACCTATCAGTACTAATGATATTTATTTTTTGCTTTTTAGTTTTGACTTTTTGTTTGTTCTTAGTTTTTGGTTTTTTGAAGTCGGTTTTTTAAACGCAGTTTTTATTTTATTATTTTATCATTTTCAGTGTAAAGCTACATATACCCGTTTTGTTACTTATAATATACTAGCTTTTACCCGCGGCTTCGCTCGCGTCACAAAAGGACAAAAAGTAGCCTATGTGACTATCCATCCGTTCAACTACCTTCAGTTAAAAAAATCACGTTAATTAGTACCTCCGTTCTGCCGTTTAAGACAGGCAAACAAACAAATAGCTTTCCGCTCGCGTGGAATTCGGTTATATCGCGCTATTTAGATTTTTCCAATAAGTAGGTAATTCGTTGACTGGTTTTAAATGACATACAACGCCATCTATACCGGTACATACAGCGCCATCTATACCAATATTTTTGTTTTTCCTAGGAAATATCAATTTTTTACGTGATAAAAAGTACCCTATTATTTAATCCAGACTTCCAACTTTACGTCTGCAAAATTTCAAAGCAATCGGTCTAGTAGTTACGGCGTGAAGACGGAACAAACAAACAAACAAACTCACTTTCCGATTTATAATATAAGTTAGGATATAGGTGCAAAGTTCTAATCAATACAAATTATACAAGCCCAAACACAAGGTAGTTACAGTATACTTGAGGAGTTCCCTTAACAATTACACTTCTTCATCATCAGACCCTTAATGACAGCCCCACTCTATTTAGGTGTAAAGTCCTCATCAATACAAATTAATCAAGCCCAAACACAAGGTAGTTACTGTATACCGTTGAGGAGTTCCCTTACCATTTACACTTCTTCATCATCAGACCCTTAATGACAGCCCCACTGTATCTAGGTGTAAAGTCCTCATCAATACAAATTAATCAAGCCCAAACACATGGTAGTTAATATAAACCGCTGAGGAGTTCCCTCGACTGTCTGTCGACTCCATCATCAGGTCGACTCCAAACCCATATGAAACAAACAATGAAACAATGAATTTATTTCTGCAAATAGGCTACAAGGCAGCACTTTTACACGTCAATTTTATCAAGCGAACGATGAGGTCGACATTTCCTAACTGACTACTCTGAGAAGAAATGCCGAAACAAAGGTCTGTCTCTTTAAAGTCCAGACAATATGTATAATAGATTATGTGTGAGAACCGTGCAAGTTCTTTCTGTAGTGGCCTTTTGAGGAAAGAACCACAACAGTTTGAGCGGACCCGTTCTGAAGGCAGTACGCATGTGTCGGTTTACAGTCGGCTCAATTAACAGGTGAGGCTGACTGATTCGACGAACAATACCAACCTAAAGAACATTTGCGTGGGTCGCACAAATACTCAAACTGTCAGAATATGGGTATGAAATTGTAGTGTTTAAAAATCGTAATTGAAAAACATAATAGACGCATTACTCCTCCATAGAATTTTCGAAAGTTCCCCTCGGTTTCCCTAGGATCCCATCATCAGATCCTGACTTCATGGAAATGGGACCATCTCGGGAGTATACCCTTTCAAACAAAACAAGAATTTTTGAAATCGGTTCACAAACGGCGGAGTACTGCGCGAACAAACAAAAAAAAAAAAAAAACAATCAGCCGAACATAGTACCTCCTCCTTTTTTTGAAGTCGGTAAAAAGAGTAACCTATGGAGTTTCTTGCTCGTTCTTCTCGAATGGGCAAATAGCTTCACTTTTTATTTGTTTTTGTTGACGTTCAAAAGTGCCTTTCTGGTGTAATTGAAATAAATGGTTTTGACTTTGACTTTGCTGAGTGTCTTCTAGGTTTCGATTAAATGTTTGGCTTAGTTAATGCTTATAGGCAAACATTTTCCATTCTTGGCATCATCAGGTCAGTTGCTGGATATTGTCGAAATAAAAAAAAGGTTTAAATAGTATTTCGTTCCGCACACAGTGAGTACCATGCCTTAAATGCGTTCTACCGTTTACGAGCCTAATGTATTCCGCGAAGTCAGAACCGTTTGCTAAGCTAGTTATAACACGACGCAATTTAGATGTTACACCGTACATTGGACTAATAAAGCACTGATTTGATACTAGGAACCTTTGACTAGGAAGTAATTGAGGGGTTCTGACACTGCTGCTTACCCAGTAATTTGATTGTTGGAGAGAATGTGAATATTGAGACATTAGAAGAGGACTCTATTTAGACTGTTAGTCACTATAAGGTTTATCTATATTAATTACTATTCTCTTCAGCCGGATACTCTGAATCTCTATTTCTATTTTATATATTTATTTAAGATTCTCTAAAAATACATTTTTAAAAACTACTCTCAAACAAGTAGGATTTTCAGAATTTTTTCTGTCTTAAGAACCTTCTCTTGACAATATTTGTTATTGTTGCACAACAAAAAAACTGCCGAATCAGTCTAGCCGTTCTCAAGTTATGGTGTGACAACTGGAAACGGGTTTCATTTTTATGTATATAGATTCTGGGATTGGGGTAATTGTGCCTCCGGTAACCTCACTCACACGACGAAACACAACGCAACTGTTTTACGTCGGTTTTCTATGAGAGCGTAGTACAATTCCGGTCGAGCCGGCCCATTCGTACCGACGCATGGCTCTCCCACACTTTAAATACGTTTCCTACGTAAAAATAAACAACGTATACTCAACGTTAGCTTGTTCATAACTCTGCATGTTTCAAAGTATAATCTATGTCGATAGTATGTATATGTCGTGGATAGATGGCGCTACGGTACGATGTACAGCGCCATCTAACGAATTGATTCATAATCACGTGATCAGAAACGCAAGCGCGCCCCACCGCTTGGACACGATCGTCGGTAGAGAAGGGATGTGGCGAGGACGGAGGGAGGATCGATCGTTGGATCAGTCTAGTTGAGACCGTCTTGGCAAACGCCCGGTACCAACGCACGTGTCTGTTTCTTGATTGTAATTATTGTTGGAATAAATTAATTTTAAAATCAAAATCGTCTTTCGCTCGAGTACCCACATAGTGCCCAAGTGTAGCGGTAACCATGTCGGATCATGGTGAAGACCCGATGCTTCGCATTTCGGCCACCCAAGACGCGACATCAGAACTGGGATTCACTCGAGCTGATGAAAATATGGAGAATGGAGCGATGACGTCACGCGGTGACGAAAACTTGCTTCGTACGTTGCTGGCGGCACAAAATCAAAATATGATGGCCCTCATAGAAGCTGTCAGAGGTCCATCAGGTGCCAAGCATATTTCTTTGCCGGAATTTGACCCAGATAAACCGGACGTGGACGCACGTGCTTGGTGTACTACAGCAGATCTGTGCTTATCGGAAGTTCCGCTTCATGGAAGTGCGCTAATAATCACCTTAAGCAAGGCTCTAAAAGGAAGTGCTTCACGTTGGCTTGCACAAGTGTCGTTTGCGGGCATGACATGGGGTGACTTCAAAAGCTTGTTTTTATCCCGGTTTGATTGCGTGGACACACCAGCCGCTACCCTCGTCAAACTAATGAATAGCAAGCCTAAGGAAGGTGAATGCTATGCCGCCTACGCCGCGCGATTGCTTTCTACACTCACATCGCGCTGGCAAAACATGAGTGCTGAGCAGTAGCCATATCTACGGTGCTGGCTCACATGGCACAATTTGATGGGCGTATTCAGAGGCTGGCTTTCACTACTGACGTCAAGAATAGAAACAAGCTTCAGTGTGAACTTCAAGCGTTCTCATTTTTGAAGAGAAAAGCTCCTATTGGTAACGTAACCGAGGCCGCACCAGACTTCAAGAGATCAAAGTTGCAACCATTAACACTGAAGTGTCACAACTGCGGTAAACCAGGTCACCGATCATTTGACTGCCGTTGGAAAGGTGAAGTGAAGGGCAGAGCAACCAATGCTACCACTTCAGCGTCAACTTCTACGGGTTCGAAGCAGCGGTCGGATATCATCTGTTTTCGATGCGGCAAAACTGGACATTTTGCTGCCAAATGTCCACTAAGCAATGGCGGAGGTGCTAGCGCACGGGGCTCAAGCAGCGCAGTGGCAGCGCCTGCAGCAGCAGCGAGCAGCGATCGTCGCGTTGATGTTTGCTATGTTAGCAATCCTGGCGGTGTATTGATGAACTCTGGTGAGTCGTATCCATTTTATTATGATTCTGGCGCCGAGTGCTCTCTGATTAAAGACAATATTGCGTCAAAGTTTAGTGGCAAACGGGTTAATAGCATTGTAAATTTAACGGGAATCGGTCATGGTAGTGTAC